TGTGTGTGTATATATATATATATATATTTTTTTTTTTTATTGCTTAGGTATTTGTCCCTGCTTTACTCAGGGAAGTTTCAATCAGTTTTATAGCTAGGTTCCTGAACATTATAGATTATCTTCACCCATGTTTCCTATACCTATGAAATTAGTCAGACATAGATGCTTAATCTTCAATCACTTCATAGACATGCAGAACATGGCATTTAAATGTTTTAATATTAGTACTCCATTGACATGAGACACTGTTGCTCCTGACAGCACCGTGCATTTTCCTGAAAATATGTTGGCCACTGTTGTCGCTCCTTCTGGAGTCCATCCTCGCTTTGGCTCATGGCTTCTTGGGCAAAGAACTGCCCCCACCTCGACCACTGATTTGGATGTGTGACCCTTTGTGCTTGCAGGAGACAAACATAAAAGACTGCTGAACCCTGCCAAGTCAGGGTAAGACAGCCTTTCTACCTCCCTGCTTTTGTTGTGGTCTGTCAGGTACACTAGGCCTTAGCCAAAAGTGGATATACCAACGTTGCTGTGAGACCTTGGATGACTGTCCAGGCAGTCTGCTGTTTCTGTCCTCGCTGCACCTTTTGGAAGTTGCCCATCCATACTTCCTGCCTACTCTAGTATTGTTATTTTCCTTCTCAGGTCTTCGATGAGGTTGAAGATTAAACTATCACAACTATTATTCTCTCTTCCTAGTTAGATATATTAGGTAATTAGGTACTAGACTTAAGCTTTTCAGCTTAGGACAACTCTATTGTAAACCCTGTATGCCTTCACCCTAGGACTAGATATGTAGGTCCTAAATTTATATGTTCTCGATTTTCCTTTTCTTAGAGCACACTTGTTATTCACTGTTTTGTATCAATCCTAAATCTTTTCTTTAGACTAAAAGGGGAATTGTAGTGAGATATTCACTTTGTCCAGACCTGTGGCACAGACCATGCCCATTGGGGGAACTAAGTCTGAGGAGGAGCCCGGGAGTGCTCTCTTGCTTGCAGAACAGGGACAGGAAAGAATCAGGAGGCATCCTTGGGACCAGGAACCTGCTGGTGTTCATCTATGTTCTAAGTTATTTCTCCCTGAATAAACATCTATTCAGCCTATTTGTTTCTCCCGATCCTTATTAAACCTCAATACACACTTTCATCCCCCCCCCCCCCGCCGTGTTTAATAGACAGGCCAGCTGAATTTGGGGCATGTATGCTGTCATTCTGGAAGTGGCTGAGATGGGCAGCTGCTATTTGAGGCCTACCTGGTTGTAAGGCAACATCCAAATGAACAACCAAGCAATGAGCTCATCATTTAAAACCCATGGTAACCACAATGCCCTTTTGTAAATCCCCAAAACTCCCAGTAAAAACTGATCTCCTCCTGGCTTTCCTGAGGTTCTTCCTGGGCCAGTGTCCTGCTCAGGAGGAGGACAGTGGCTGCAGTCTGTTTGCTCCTCGGAGAGGAGACTGCCTTTTCTCCTGAGAGGCTGTGGAAGGGCTTCAGTCAAAAAGACAAGGAAGTCGGTGCAGGGAAGTAAGACATCTCGGGCAGTCATCTTCAGAGCAGAAAGCTGGGGTAGGTTAGGCAAGCTGAACAAGCTGGAGCTCCAGGAATCCATAGGATGCAACGAGGCTGGCATTGTTCCAGCCCTGACCCAGAAAGAATTTAGAGCTAGTACTAGTTGCCTGTGTGACCTTTCTCCTCAGCCTCTCTCACTCCCATCTCCTATCCAGGGACAGAGCCCTTTGGGTTCCCCTGGTGTCCCGGAATTCATTCCTGGAGCTGTCTCCCAGTCTGAGTTTCCACTTGAGTCAGGAGGGTGCTGAGTGGAGATGAGTTCTCAGGACAGCCAAGATGCCTGTCCCCGCAGCCATCTTTACAAGCACTGGGTACTCTGGTCCAAGCTCTTGATGGCACTACAAAACTTACTATAAACTTCTGTTCTAGAATATTCCACTATTTCCCTGTACTATCCTTCCTAACTGACTAGCAAATTGCTGTCACAGGTAAGATTTTTCTCATCCCTTTCTATATGACTATAATAAATTCTATCTTTTCTGTATTTCTAAGCCTGCTCAAATGTTTTATAGTTTTGCATTGCATGTGACAGAACTTTTGTTGTTTTGGTGCCAAGGATTAAACCCAGGGCTTTGTGCACTCTGGGCAAGCATTCTACCACTGAGCTGCACCCATAGCCTCCCGTACACAGCTTTTACATGACCATAGTAATCCTTGTACGTAGTATTGCAAGAACAAATGTGAAATTAATGTGAGATTTAGCATTAACTGAAAGTAAATTTGCTATGTATTTTTATTTGATCTTGATTTAAAAATAAAGCTGGTATTCAGGCAGAATGCAAGATGAGTACTCAATTTTAGTAAAAATAAGAGTTTTTTAAAAACCAATTAAAAGATAAGTAGATGGGGATTTAATCTCTTCAACTTCAAGTCCCTTAGCCCGGATCCCTCATTAGACAGGCTTCATTAAAAGAAAGCTGTAAACATTTTCAATAATTAAACATGAATATATGATCCAGGATAAGACCTGGCCCTTAGGCCATACGCAGTTAAATATGCAAAATTACATGTGTACTTGATTCCCTCTTGTGAATTCCTTCTTCCAGGAAAACGCATCTGCGTAATTATCTTGTTCCTACATCTCTACCATGGATCATATTAAAAACACTTCTTCCCATGAACTGTGAAGTATTAATTGATAAGCCACAGGGAGCTTAGACGATAGCATGTCCTCACCAATTAATAATGCTGTTGGCTCGCTTATGAGGGCTGAATTATTCATCAGAATCTTTGCATAAAGTCCCTTCGAGGTAAGACTGGAGAGATGCTGGAGCGCCTGTGACATGGCTTAAACTGTATGAAAGAACTCGACGGAGTTCCGACCCTGTACTTCCCACAGAGTGGCAGCTGATGCACTCGGCAGCCCCTCCCTTCTGGATATGTGAATCTTCATGACTATCCTAAGCATTTTAAATTAAGCTGTAGTGCTGTGAGGTAGGGGGAAAACGTACAGGTCTACATCTGTCACTACAGTGCCCTGAGCCACTCCTGCATCCATTGATCAACCCACCACAGAGCTGAAATATTTGAAGAAAAAAAGCTGCAACTTGAAATGAGCGTGTATAGACCTTTTTTCTTACTTTCTAACAATTCAGCATAGCACTTACACACAGATTGGACTAGGTAGTTCAAATATTCTAGAGTATGGTTTCAAATACATTGGAGGAAGAGGTGTGGGTATGTGAATTTAACTCATTTTCTACAGAGGACTTGAACATCCGAGGGCACCCAGGAACAGATTTCATAGACAGTGTATGACTCCAGTCTTTTGTTCAAGGCAACTTACTTTACTAGGGTCATTTCTGTATCTTCTACAGAGATCTCAGGCTGGTGGAGAGCTAAGACTTCTTCTGGTATGAGGCAAGGATGAAGCTAGTTTGTGTTGACTACTAGAAATAATAGGGTTTGCAGCATGCTCATATGTAATGCACCACCTTCCTTCCCTGGACTCACTGACTGCCCTATGACGTTTCATCACTCAGAAAGTTGCAGTGCATGAGCAGAGCGGTTGTTTGCTGGAGGGAGAGGCCACACAGTTGAGACGGGAGACCGGCCTCACCTCAGACTCGCTGAAGACAAGAGCTACAGACTGGTACAATGCATCCACTTAAAATGCCTCGAAGTGATTAGCTATTTTAGGCTATATTTTTAAAGCGTTACCCTGTACTTTGTGTTAAAAGTAGAATTAACCATTAATTAAAATGTTCCTCATCAGAAGTCTTATTATAGAAGATTTTATATAGCATGATCCAATACTTCACATTTCTTTCCTCTGCTTTCTCTCTCCTCCCTAAATGGGAGATGGTGGTGGTGGTGGCTATTTTGCATGTCTGCAGTGACTAGCTTCCCATCATCTTCAGAATTCTGCCTCTGTTTCACTTTAGGAAGGATGAGGACAAGTTAGAGGAGCTAAGTCTGGCCGAGCAGGGTTGTTTTCCTCTCTTTAACAGGCTCTTCCTTCCATCCTTGCTGCTAAGGGTAGAATGGGAAACGATGAACAGGTGTGAAATCTGAGGGCTTTGCATTTCTCACATCACAATTTGGGGCCCCAGAAGATACTAGGCAGTCCCAGACTTCTCCTTCAAGGCCAATGTAGTTGGTGCATAGCCTTCAACTAGGAATTGTGGTGAGAGGTGCATTTGCAGGTGAGTAATGGTGTACAGGGGTGGGCAGAAGTCAGTACTGCCCGGCCTTCCACCTGGGCTAGCAGGAGCTGGCTTCCACCTGCATGGAGAATGAGCCGTAAGCAGAGCTGGCTAGCAACGGAGTTGCTACTTTGTGTGAGGAAAGGGGAGAGGAGGCAGACAGTAAAGATTTCTGCTGCTCTGGAAATCTGGGGAAGGTCTGGTTCTGTGTGAGAGGAGCTCTGGAACCACGAGCAGACAAGTGTCACGGGTAGATCACAGCGAATATTATGACCTAGTGAAAGACAGGTCCAAGAGTCATCCAATGAGTATGTTTTTAAAAATGCATTATTTATAGAAAGAAATAGGGATTGGCAAAATGTCCAATCAAATACAATGACTTCACTTAGAACTGAGTATATTACAATCTAAACACAAGGGCTCAATTCAGAAATCACACACAGATCTGAAATCTTCAATGTTATACACTGTTCTTTTCAAATGGGGGTCATTTAAATACAGTCTAACCTGGCAAATAACAGTGGTGGCTGCACTTTACACTTGTGCTACCACAGGGCGCTGCAGACACACATGCTTCATGTGGCTCTCATTTCATCTTTAACAAAGTGCCAAATCGTAACGGAATTACACTTTTCACACAACAGTTAATGCAACCCTATCAAGCATTTAGTCACCTTGCTGCTGTGACTGATGCTGTCTTCACAGAAACAGGGCAAGTGGGGATGAGGCAGTGCCTGTGCCCAAAGACAGCAAAAGGCTTCCAACCTGATTAAAAATAAGGAGTCATATAAGAAATGGCTTTATTAGAAAAACTCGTAGTGTACATGTGGCTAAGTCCTATCACTGGTATACAGCTCGGCTATTTTTTAATTAAAATCTGATACAGGGTTCAAACATCTTTAGAAGTTAGTGGCATTTCTGTTATTCTTCTGTCGCGTGCCTGGGAGGAGTCATCTTCACGGGACCGATGCCCAGGTTCCTTCTCGTAAGTCAGCTTGTCAGTAGGTCAGCACTAGCACAAGGTGCACGGGGGGCGGGGGGGGGTGTTACTTGTGTGGGCAGTGCATCCCATGTACCTCTTCTTTAGTCCAGAACGTGTGTGCCACCAGTGTGGTATGCGGTCCAGAGTCACCAGTGTGGTATGCGGTCCAGAGTCTTCAAATCCCCATGACACTCAAGTCCTGCATTATTATTACCTAGTAGTCATTAAATTACTGTGAGACTCCGGAACCTAACAAAACCTCTCAAAGAAGTTTCTTCTCCTTTTCTCCCATTAGATGTGCAATTCCAAGCAGATGTGTGGCACCGACATGCAGTCCCTTTGAAGTCCCGCAAGTCTGTGGCATTAAACAGAGACAACCACATCAAGGTAGAGTCTGTCATAGGATTCCCTGAAGCACAGAATGAGGAGAAGACTGAGCAGACACGACCCGGGAAGGCACCAGTTGAACCAAGACAACTCTGTAAGGAAAAAAAAAAGCAGTTTAAGTATTTTTGCATCAGCTGCACCTGCTTTGCCTTCCAAAGCACATATAACAAAAGCACCTGGAAGCTACTTCACTAAGTGATGTGTAATATATCACCAGACTTCCACGTGGAATATTTAATCGATGTCATTAACAACTTTTCATCAATGTAATACACCTTGACTTTGGTTGCAAAATCAATCTATTAGTTGAAAGGGGGGGTAATTGATCACTTTAAGTGTAGCTTGTTAATTGTTTTTTAAGTGCTCTCTGTCACTGTCACTCTTGTGTCTGTTTAGAAATACCTGGTGGACTTAGGTAAAGAGAAAAACCACCTCATCACCTCACTTTATTTTCATACACACACACACACACACACACACACACACACACACACCAGTAGAGGTGTGCACAGAGGCCAAAGAAGAGTGTCAGTGTACTTCTCTGCCACACTCTGCCTCATTTCCTTGAGACAAGGCCTCTCAGTGAACCTGGACTCCTGAGGTTTTTGTTTTAGCAGCTACGTTGGTGGTCCACAAACCTCAGCAATCCTCCTGTCTCTGCCCTCAACAGCGCTGGAGTTACAGATGCACGTGACCATGCCAAGCTCTTCACATGGGTGCTGAGAACCAAAGTCAGTGCCTCGGGTTTGCACGGCATCCCACGGAGCTGTCTCCCCATCTCAATTACTTTCAGATAACCTTTTTGTATTTTTTTTTTTGATGGAAAATAATGTACTTCTCAACAAAAATATTAAAAAGTAGCCATTGCAAAATGAATTAGAATATATGGAGAATAAGGTAAAACATTCGAGAATAACCATTTCTACTCCTAGAGAAACCACTGTATTTATCTTTTCTAGTTTCCCCTCTGTAATGGTGGTTGGGGACAACTTCTCTAGTGCAACATCATCAGTTCCAATGGGATAAACTGAGTATGATTTTTCCATCTCCCCTCCTTTCCTTACTTTCCACTTTCCCTGTGTCTTCCTTTAAATGCTAATGCTGTCTCGGTCTCAGAGTCACCCTAGAACCCTCACATCACTGCTACAGTTTACGCACAACTCACAGAGCCTATGAGAGCAACCCATGCAGGACTGGCTGGTAAATGATGCAACAGTGACTTTTTCTATACTGTGCTCAGAAAGCAGCATCCTCACCTCTCAGACAGACCTGTGCACTGCAGTTAAAGTCAGACTCGCCATCCCATAATGTAAACAGACGTGGACCCCACCATCACTTTCTGTCGGCTAGCTGTCTGCTGCTGCTGCTGGATTCCATGGAACCTGAGCACTGAGAGAAAGCATTGGCCCATCCTGCCTCCATTCTCACAGTCCACTGAAGGACACTCGGGATCTTCTGCTTTTATATTAAACACACAGCCTGGACTTCTGACGATAATTCCACTAGGCAAGATGAAGCAGTTAGAGGAGGAACCGACTGAACATGGAAGCAGAGGCTGTACTAACCGCCAAGTACTCTGACTTTAAGGCCACACTGCAAACAGCAGATAAAAGGGAGCAGACACTTGACGGTGTGGTCCACAAGAGCATCTTCTAAATCTTCATGCCTTAAATTTACAGTGAGTGAAAGCAACACATGTGCCATGACTGACGTAGCCTTGGCTCTCTTTCAGGTGAGGAATTGGTCCAATACTGCCAAAGCTGAACATTTTATTTCAGTATTCCTTCTGTCTAGGTTCAGATGTTTGTTTCATGACTGTGTCTCTCTGAAAAGTCAAATTGTCTTTAAGGAAATTCACTTGGTTCAACAAACAGCGAGTGTTCTTTAAAAACACTTCCCTTTTCAGAAAGCAAAAGGTCAGAGGCAGGGGAGTACCTGCATCTCCCTGCTGAAAACCATTCATAGAAACCACAGCTGGGGGGAGGGAGGGGGCAGAGAGAGACCCCCTTAAACATTTAATCTAAGTTGTCAAGCTAACAAACCACTGACCTTCTGAGCTTGGTGTCAGAATATAACTGAATGGTGCCCAATCCACCAAAATGTTTGCATTCTTAACTCTTTTATCTGTTTGGCTGAGCACTTTCCTGCAATCCTTCCCATTCCTCCCACTGGAGAAAACAGCAATCTGTGCCAGAAGGCAGGACTATGAAACACACCCCTGCATGTCTACCACACTGCAGCCTCATCCTCAAGTTTACCTTTCACTCTGCATGGGCTCTGCACGGCACCTGTGCAACATGTCAACCCTGCACAGCACCTCTGCACTGTCGTGTCTGCTCATCCTCTCTTCTTCCAGAAGCTGCTAACCTCTTCCCCCCCCCCCTCTCAGTGTCACGTGCTTATAGTTTGACCGCCTATAGATACCATCTCCAGAATCTCCAGAGCCATCCCGAACTGGACAAAACTGTCTCCATCTCCCGGTGAGCAGCCAGCTGGCACCCCAGATGTTGGATCAATGGCCTGCTCCCTCCACTGCGCAGGGATTACCCCATAGACCCTACACCACAGCACTTTCCTTAGGTGTGACATCACTCCTCTCCAGTCCACATCTGCTGAACTTTCCATTTGTTCTCCCAGGAACCGATAGCCAATGTGCCCACCTCAGCCAGGTCCCAAAACCTTCTGAGTGACACTGCACCCTCAAATTCGACCAGGCTCTTCAGAATCTTTATGCATTTAGACAAAACTCACCGCTTAGCTTAGAAACAAAAATAACAGAGGAAACAAACTTCAGAATATAAAACAGGAAGTATTTCAGAGTAAATGAAAGACAGCAGTGTCCCCATATTGACTGTTTCTGTGGTGCTGTTAGAATAAGGCATCACTACGCTGCCACAGCTCACTGAGGGTCTCAAATCAAACATCCCCTTAGAGTAGGGAACACGTAACTTTCTTCTTAGAAAACCCCATGCCAGGAAAATACTAAAACGTTCTGATAGGGTTCCATGTGTCAAGGTACAAGTGAAAGGCTCTACGGCCCAGGGCTCCACATAAGCAGTGGCCTTGATGTGGAAGCGGTCACAGGTGGAACCCGTCCTTAGGCGAGGCACTCTGATCTGATGTGTTCATGTGGGAGACAGTTGCACAGCCTTGAAAGATTATTCGACGCAGTTGCCAGACAGCTCAGCGTGGGTGGGAAAGAACCCTGTCAAGGAAGCAGTGTACTTCCTTGAGAGGAATGCTAAAAACTACAGCTTTTCACAATGCTCAAAACCCAGGCTTCAGCCAGGCATGGGGATGCTTATCTGTCAGTGTTGGTACTCGGGAAGGTGGCTGGGGCCCTGGAGTATGAGACAAGTCTGGGCAATATAGTGAGATCTTTAAAACAAAAATGAATGAATGAATGAAAGAAACCCAGGCTTTCTTTAAAAAACAACAAACTCAGAACTTACAAGAGGGCAATGATAGTTGAACCTTCACATCTACTTGCCAGATGAGTTTTCATCTTAAAGTTACTGAATTATGTCATTTCCACACTTGCTTTCTGAAAGCGCCTCAAGTCTATTATGTGAATGTTTAGGGCCCTGGGCTGCAGCACTAGGAGTGATCTGAGAAAACCGTTTCATAGGATTGGATTTTCAGTTTATCCTAAAGTCCTAGAGCATTTAGCACTCTGTGGCCAGGATTTACAGGCAGTGTCAGCTAACTGTATGTGAAGGGATCCAACAAGGGTCACACTAAGTAACCCATGACTGTGGTCTCACATACTCACGGGGCTCACTTCTCTAGGACAGCCTTCTCAGTCACACTGCAGCATCAATGACAGAGTTACAAAGAAAAATAACACACGCCTCTGGGGTGTGCACACCGTCTTCTCTCTCATCTACCCACACACCAACTACCCACATACCAGCATTTACTCAAAGTTTTCTGTCTGGAAATCATTTTGGTGGATTAAAATTAATTATTACAAATTATTCATTTGCCCACAGCAGCCATGAGGTTAGGTGGAAACTCTGCATCAGCTGTTCAAATGTGTGTAAAAACACATGGTCAGCAGGCACCTTGCTCAGCTGCTCAGATATGTGTAAGAACACATGGTCAGTAAGTGACTAACAAGAGGACAGTGTCCTCCTCCCAGCCAGATAAAATTCCTGGTAGGGCATATACCACTAGGGCAGGGATTAGCAGGTGTCATCATTAGCTGGGGTTAGCAGGTGTCATCATTAGGGATGGGATTAGCTTTTCTGGTCCCTATTAATCCGAGGCATGACAGTTGCAGCTAAGTCACACCTAGGTGTCAATCCCTGAAGCTCTATCAAAGGCTGCTGCTGGACCTAGAAGAGGGATGGACACTACACTTAACAGTCGGCACTCTCCTGCAGTAGGCAGGCTGAGGTGTGAGCCTTAAGAGCCAAGTGCTGGACTCACAGGCCCAGGATGTGTTGGACCTTTGAGAGGTAGGCTCCAGTGGGAAGTTATAACTGGCCCCCACCACCCCTGTCTTGTCATCTTGCCCAGTGATGACATCTTGTCTCTCTCACCATGCCCTATGATATCACATCAGAGTGATGCAACATCACACATGGGACCTTCAAACAATGAGTCAAATAAAACGTTTCTTAACCAAGTGTCCAGCCCCCAGCACGAATGGGAAACTGAGGAGAGGAGCAGTTTTAGAGTGCTGCTACTATCAGGCCTTCCCTGCCTTACACTGATCAGTATGCATCTGTTCTGTACCAGAGACCAAGAAAAGAGATTCACTGGGGAGTTACCCGAGGAAAAACTATTTCTAGTTGACAGGGAAAACCACGTTCTGCTAGGCTGCACAGACCACTTAGTAAACCTGGGCCCGTCAGCTGGAAAATTGTTTCTATCATGCCAGGGGCACATGCTAGCTCTGATGCTTTGCCATGCAAAGAGGTGACAGCCCCTTCATTTCCACTGTGACACAAATGAAGTGAATTAAGGCTGTAACACAACAGACGCAAGGCTCTGGGTAGAAAGCAAATGTCCTCTCTACAGGTGCTGTTTTCTGACTGGACATGAAAAAGAAAAGGCTACGACTATTCAGAATTCCTCCCCTTGACAGTAAGCTGAGCCCAAGCCAGAGGTAGTATACCCAACCCTTTATGTTCAACACTGACTGACAGCAGCCATCTAGTTTGTCTTTAATCACGTTATGAAAATCATTTTCATAATGATTTTCCAGTTAGGAGAGGTTCAAGTTGTTATGACTTTGCTTCGTTTTGAAGATGTAATTTTTGGCCAAGGAGGTTAACATGGTTATTTCAATTATAGGCTTGTCAGGAAGTTCCCTATATACAACGTGGCCTCCTGGAGTGTCGCGCTGGCTGTAGAGAACAGCTCAGCTTATTGACTTCCTCTCATTTGTCCCCAAGACTCTGGACCACATACAAACCCCTGACACTAATTTACACTCTGCTCAGAGAGCAGCCTCTATGTACATTTAATAGTATTGGAATCACCTGGCCGGGGGGTGGGGGGGGTAGGGGGGGTAGGAGGGTGGGGGGGGGCTGGGAAGACACGAAAATAAATGTCAATTCTTTCCACACAGGTGGTTAATTCAAACACTCTAGGGGCGGGGGTGCCTGTGGGCACACTTTAAAAAAAAAAAAAAAAAAAAAAAAAAAAAAAAAAAACCTAACTGCGGTTATCATTTTATTGGTGTGTGAAAGCTTACAAAAAGTAATATGCTTTAGTGAGAATTCTCCACATAGGTCCCCTATCCATCAGTTCCACAAACACATCTAGACAGCAAATAAAAAGAATCAAATTCTTACCTGTATGATAAAATGTGAGAAAAAATAGAAGCACTCCCATAAACATATTACTTAAAAAAGTGACAACTCCACAAGTAATTCCTTCTGGAACGGGGTAGACAGTTTCCACAAAAAGCTCAAAAAATATAGGAACGCTGCTGTTCAAGAACACTCCCAGGAGGATGCAGGAGGCGTACAGTGTCACTAAAATAAAGCACAAACATTTTAGTTCACAGACGTCAGCAGTGACGAGTCAGGGCAGATGGGGCTTCTGGGTTTTCCCAAGCACCAGCTCTGGAGTTGCTTCAGTGGTGATGGAAGTCTGACAGGACATCATAGTACTGTCATCTCCTCACGGAGATTTTCTACAGTAAGAACAGGTTTCATTGCTGAATGATTACAGTTTATTTGCTTTCTCTTTCTGTTGGATTATTCCAAAGCACAAAAGCAATTTAGCATTAGAGTTGAATTAAAAACATTCTGTGCCGGCATGATGGCTCCGCTCAGTGTGGATGGCACCCACCACCAAGCCTGACTCAATTCCCAGAACCCACCCAGTGGGAGGAGAGAACAGACTCACACAGATTGTCCTCTAACCTCTACCTGTGTGGTGTGGCACAAGTACCACACAATAAATAAATGTAATTAAAAAAATAATAAAACTTCTGATGAAAAGATTCATAAAAACAAAAATATTTTTTTCTACAAGTCATAGGCAAATGAGTTTAGGAAATAAAATGCAGCAAGGTAATTAACAAATCTTGTCACATTTTACAATTTTAAAGAGACTTAAAATGCAAGAATAAATATGTAAGACAGATGAAATGTTATTGCAAATTGCTCATGCAGAGTCTGGTTCACAGTGGCATCCACGATCCACCCGAGGCACTCAGTGTCCTTGCAGAGAATACAGGAGAGCTGACTCTCAGATGGTAAGCGGTACTGTGCCAGTGTCTTTTTAAATAAGGGCTGTTTTCACCCCAAACGCACACTGATACCATGCTGAGCCAGCACTGGCAACGCCTGCCTCTAATCACAGCACTGGGGAGGCTGAGGCAAGAGGATTGCAAGTTCGAGGCCAGTCCAGGCTACTTAGACACTCTCTCGAAAACAAACAGATATTAAAAGGTGACGAGGGTGGTAAGATCACAGCTTAGCAGGGTTGCCTGCTAACGTTATTTTGTACTGAAATCTGATGGAAAGGGTACCTCCTGATGCTTGCACAAATGCTTAGAGAAGAGCATGCCATTATAACATTTCCACCGCTCCTGTCTGTCTACATGCTTTCCGTAATTCAAGTTCAAAGGTGAACGGAGCCAGTGGGGGACAGTTATAATAATGTACCTGTATTATAATAAAGATATCTGCTGACAATAATGCACAGAGTGTGTATAAGCTTAAAGTTAGAAGAAAAAGACTTTTGTTATAAAGATTTATTAAGGAAAAAATTGCTAACCAGGTGGTGGTGGCTAGCACCTTTAATCCCAGCAAAGGCAAATGGATCTCTGAGAGTTTGAAGCCAGCCTGGTCTGCACAGTGAGTTCCAGGGAAGCCAGAGTTATACATAGAGAAACCTTCTCAAAAAACAAAACAAAAGAGAAGAAGAGAAAAAAAGAAAGAAAGAAAGAAAGAAAGAAAGAAAGAAAGAAAGAAAGAAAGAAAGAAAGCAAAAAGCTGTACAGAAGTTGCAGGAAGTGAAGGCCTTAAACCAAATCCCTTACCCGTCATTCTCATTCATAGATTCTGGTGTCTCAAAGCAGCAGAACTGAGCACAGCAGACTGCAATCATTACCCATCTACAGCAGGAGCAGCGGTAAGAGGACAACAGTGCCTCTGGTTCAGCTTCTCTGACCGCCCTCATTGCTGCCTCCTGTCCACTTCCTCCCGCTTTCCAGGACTATAGAGTAGTAGCTTCTAACTATGTAAAGAGCTGGTAATTACTTTGGCTTCCCTTTATTTCTGTGTGTGAGAGAGAGATATGAAGCTAGACACAAAAGAATGACAGAGAGAGCCAGGCACTGGTAGTGTACGTCTTTAATCCCAGCATTCAGGAGGCAGAGGCAGGTGGATCTCTGTGAGTTCGAGGTCAGCCTGGTCTACAGAGTGAGTTCTAGGACAGCCTCCAAAACAATACAGAGAAACCCTGTCTGGAGAAAGAAAAAAAAAAAAAGGATGACACAGAGCCTATCCATCCCTACTCCTGGGGGACACGGTAGCCCTGTTACAGACACATGAGCAGCCAGGTTACCCATTAGACAGGCATTGAGTGCAAGTGCCATGGAGCTCATGTAGAGGGTAGAGAACTACTTTGTGGGAGTTGGTTCTCTCTTTCCACCTTTATATGGGTTCAGGGTTGTCAGGCTTGCATGACACCCTGCTGCCCGCTGCCCATAAGAGTTTCATTTTTTTCCAATGAGTGTGTGTGTGTGTGTGTGTGTGTGTGTGTGTGTGTGTTCGAGCTTGCTCCTGTGTGAGTGCACATGCCCAGGGTGCCAGAGGTACTGCATTCCTCTGGAGCTGGAGTTATAGGTGCTAGGAACTGAACTCAGTTCCTCTGCAAGAGCAGTCTGCACTCTTGACCACTGAGCCACTTCTTCAGCCCCGCCCCCACCCCAAGAGATTCAGGGATAAAGCACAACCTAGCACCCCATGCTCACAATCTAATGGTTGGATGTCAGTCACATGACTCATGCGTGACTCATGTGTGAATATAGATTTTATAGTGTATTCTGTTTCCAATGTACAGTCATTTAATGATTGGTCAGTGGTAATCAGAGCAGAGAGGACTACCCACCCAAGAACAAATCCACTAGGGTTTAAAACAAAAAAGCATTGAAATAAATAACAACAAAAATTCGTAAGGACCAGCAAGTACTAACTACTACTGAACACAGGATCACATACTGATGGAATTGGATGTTTTAGGAAACATGGCTAGAAATAACCTTCCCACCTTAACACTCTGGCTCATATCTGTAAACCTAGCACTCAGGACAGGAAAAGAGAGGATTTGAGTTCAAAGCCAGCTTGGACTCCACAGAGGTTTCTCAAGACATTTTGGGCTACAGCAAGATCTAGTTTCAAAACAGAACAAATCAAACATAACAAGACAAAGCAAAGCAAAACAAAACAAAACCCAAACCTATGTTTGTATTTTTGAAGGAACTGTATCCCTACATTAAATTATAATCAGGTAAATTAAAATATAATGACTGAAACAATCATGATCAATACAAGAGAACAGATATTGCAATTGAAAATATAATAAGTAGTACACAATGGAAGGGGACTGGGTATAGGGTCTTGAAAGGTGAGATGAGAGTCTACTGACTTATACCAAGCTTGCTACACAGACACACCTGGGTTACCCATGAAGAGTGGCGGTCGGAGAAGCCAGACCTTGTCAGACAACCTCAAGGCCAAGGAGCTGTCTTGGACCACACCCACAAGGAGCCTCTGAAGAAATGTCCCTGGAAAGGTGTAAGTTCTACTGAACTTAACACTGCTGATGGCCCTGTAGTTCATCTTCTGGTGGGTGATATGGAAATATCTAACTTAAATAATTTGTTTACTCTTTGATGGAGCAGTTCCATGTCTGGGACTTTATGCTCTATCTGTGTGGTTGCAGACATATGCAAGGCAGTCGCAGAGATGCTGTTTGTGGTATATGCAAAGATTAAAGACAAGATAAATGGGGCCAGAGAAAAACTCACAGACTAAGAGCAACCACTGTCTTTGTAAAGGACACAAGCTTACTTATCAGCACTCACACCTGTAATTCCAGCCCCAGGGGATCAGAAGTCCTCTTCTGGGCAACACAGGTACAGGCACTCACACATACAAACCCATACCCATACAAATTGTGTGTGTGTGTGTGTGTGTGTGTGTGTGTGTGTGTGTGTTGTATGTCACCTTTGGGGGTTGTTTGGTGAAATTGTATTTAACAGCATTCCAATACAAGGACACTAGGCATGGTGACCTGTGCCTGAAACCCCAGCACATGGTGAAACAGGAAGATTAGGAATTCCGGGTCATCCTGGGCTACATAGCAAGTTTAAGCCCAGCTGTCTCAACAAAATGAGAAAAAAACAAAAACAAACAAAAATCCAACTACAGTAAGCCACCACTGACAAGAACAACAACAAAAACAAACTAAATAACCCCCCAAGGTTCTTGAAGCAAAGGTATGCTACATGACCATTAAAAACAAGGGAACTTGTATACATGAATATTGCTAGGTCCACACATGAAAAGCTGCTGAAAGAGAGAGAGAGAGAGATGTCTAGAATTCCCCACAGCACAGAAGAAACTGGTGACAGGGCTGTCTCTAGAATGGGAGACAGAGGCACAGCAGAAGGGAAATATGCCACTTTACTTTCTTTTTCTACTATTTAAATTTTAGGGGGTTTTGTTGTTGTTGTCTTTGGTTTGTTTTATGTGTATATCTGACCTGAGGAACAAGAGAGAAATTTCATTACAAATGGACACTGACAGCTGATAGGGTTCTACTTCCTAGAGTCTGTTCGCTCCACGACTCAGAAACCATCAGTGCTGTCAGTGGCTCTGTACCCCTCCCCCCACGGTCCAGGATCCCTGGCATCACTAGTCCCACTTCACTTATTAGACACATGGTAATATGCAGGACAGATGGACTATGACATGTGGCTACGACAGGTGTAGAATAAACGGTGGCATAACTTCAAGGGCCACTAGTGAAAACACAGCTGCCTCCATCTCCATTAAAGGTATGTGTGTGTGTTTGTGTGTGTGTGTGCGCGCGCGTGCGTGCGCAAGTGCGTGTGTGTGTGTGTGTGTGTGTGTGCATGCCTGCACGTGCGTGTGCGAGTGTCTGAGGAGGCCGTAAGAGGATGCTGGGTCCCCTAAAGCTGGAGTTACAGGTGTGGTTGTGAGATGTCCCATGTGGGTGCTAGGAATGGTACCCTGGGGTCTTCTGCAACAGCAGTAGGGGCCAAACCATCTCTTCAATCTCAGTATTTGTTTCTTTCATTACTATAAAAATGATTAAGAGGGCTTTAAAAAACAAACAGACATCACTGTATGGCTATGCTGAAATCATTTTCTACTGCAGAAACCAAGAATCAAACAATTTACACAGGGAAGAGTTAAGCGAACATCATCCTAATCAGAACGAGGTAAAGACAGCTGTGAGCACACTGATTCCACACATCCCTTAGCGTTCAGGG